TGACCGAGAAATTGGATGGGAGTTTCCCATTGAACAGCGAAGAAATTTATCACCCATGGATATCTGCTAAAATCAGCACCTTTTTGATGAGTTCAGTGCCCTTGAATGCCCTTGTTTAATTGCAGGCCAGGTTGTGCAACACTACATGTATTTGTTTCTTTGCGCTTGCTAGCCTCTTTGCATTGGTTTGTGGGTGGGTAGTGAAGATTGGGAAGGCGAGGAAACTCTTGTCATAATCTAAAGCAGAAAATCTGTTTTCAGTCATGATTGCTAGTGGTGATTGTGTTTTTGCTTTCGCGGATGGACGGTTGAAAGTATCTGCGGTGTTGCTTATTGATGCCAAACCTTCTGTGTTTTGAACGATCTCTTCGTGCCTTCGTATGTTCATCTAAATTATTGTTTATAAGTGTGCAGGCTTTCAGAGTGAATAGAGTAGAAAGTGTATAGTGAATAGTAGCCAAGTCACAAATATGTATCAAAGTGTGTGGTAAACATGAGAATAAGAAATCAAACTATCCTTTTAATTTAAGTGTATTAATGTGCAACAATATCAATGTGTTTAAAGTAATAGATCTAAGTTCCAAACTAATAAATACAATTAGATTACTATACTTTACTTATTGTGATGTCACAAAATTCACCACTTTTATATTCGACAATTTGAAATACAAAGTTCAAGTTTTTTTGTTACTATTATAAACAAAACTTTGAAATTTTACTTTTTCACAACACTTTCACTAATGGTTAAAACTTTATGCAAATCTAAATTACTTTATAGAGCAAATAGTTTCTGGAAGTCTATAAATGCGTTCAAATACAAGTTTGTCTGTTACACTGTTTACTTCTTCAATCAATTACTTCTTTTTCACTGCAGGGACAATATAAATCTCTTTTCAGCTTCTCTGTAACAAGTCAACAAATAAAGGAAACAATTTAACAATAAAAGGTACCTGAATAAAAGTAGTAAAAATTAAGTAAAATATTGGAGCACAGCAAGAGCATGTCAGTTACGTAAGCCAGCCACACCACCAGATTTAATATGTTTATCATTCACTTACTTCACAGGTGTAACTTAATGAAGGACATTGGGCCAAACTTGTTTTACATGAGCACGATCAAATTGACTACCAACATGAGTTTTGTAATATCTCTTGCAATCATTCCGCACCATTTCTATAGGATTATAGTGGCAGTAATAAGGTGGTAGTTGCAACACCTTATGTCCAGCAGCGTTAATAATACTGTTCACATGGTACCTATAAATATTTTACTGACATGAAAACCACAATAACTGTTCTGGGCATTATCGACAACGGCATGCTTCTTTTTATTAATAGGCTTTTAACCTGATATGAAAGGTTAGAAAATCAGTAACCATTTTATCATTAAATTTGCTGACCACTATCTGTAGTTGAACATTATTTATAAATAGGCAAATCATTCACAGAAAATACATACTGTTTCCCTGGCTTGTTTGTTGAAGCTAAAGCAAACAGTTCCTGGTGAAATGCATCAGCCCAAAATGGAACATTGTTGTTTTCCAGGAAGTGTTTTAAGTTGAGGTTTTGTCCACTTTCTTGTATGCAATCTCTCCAACAGTAAGCATAGAAAATACAAAATAATTTCCTTTTTGGAAAATAAGCCACACCTCTGTTGTTTTGCATTTTGTAATTACAGAAATGAGAATATTGCTATTATAGTGTTTCTTCAGGCATACAATGCAATTGATATTTAACTGTCACTTACCTGAGCACTGTGATAAGAAGCATTATCTAGCACAATTACAGACGGTTCTTCAAGTTGTGGGAGTTAAGTATTCCATTCCTCAAACATGCCCCCACTCATAGTTCCACGAGTACCACCTTCCCAAGAACAAATGTTTTCCTAGGTGAATGGCAAAGTAGTTTGCCATTGCTGTCTTTCAGAGAAAATAAATAATTTTTGTCTTCAATAATTTGCATTTCTCTGTTAATCACATTGTCAAAGAAGAGGGTTTTTTTGTAGCCCCTGGAAAATTCACTTCTGCTATTGAAGAAGTCGAAGATTCGATCCACAACCTGAATGAAATGAACAGTAGCTTTACTATCCTGCAACACTAATATGGGACATATCTAAAAATGTAAGTGCATCTCCAACAGAAAAACTTAAAGTTAGAGCCACTAACTTTACTTTCATAGGGTTACATTTCCATTCTACATGTTCTCGTGTGACTTCATTAGCTAAATTCAATAATTTGGAAGACTGAATTTTCTGTAAGTTCTCAATTAAGAACCACTGTATTTCTACATCTGGGGCATTAAATTTTAAGCATGTTCCAAGAGCATTACAAGCCAATTTCAAGTTGTGGCATGCATTAGAAAAAATATACCCACTATATCCTGCAGTTGGATTCTTAAAATCACATTTGATTGCTTCAAAATTGCTGGCAGATGATATTTAATCATAACCAAGTGCAATCACTGTTTGTAAATTTGTGTGTGTGCCATTACATGTTACACCTCTTATTTTTACACCAACCTCAAAGCTCATGATCAGAGCAGTTTTCACTACTTCAGTTTGAACCACTGCTTTTGGCTTGTTTACAAAGAAATACCCAATTAGCCACTTCCACTTGCTTGTCAATGAAACCAGCATGACTACCAATGCCTCAGTAGCAGAAACCTCAGAACCTTCCACAGCAAATGTATTACCATAGTCACAATAACCCACAAACCGACGTGCTTTAGGATTCCATACATCTTTCCTAATATCCATGCTATCAAACACTAATTTACACCCTACACTCTTCAGTTGTGGTATATTATTATTGGGCCTACATAAAGTCATCTTCTTTAAAATTATCACTGCACATTCGGGTAGTACTGGTAGGAACAAAATCCTTCCTCTTCACAGCAATAACCCACATTTTCAGCTTCTCTTCATCATTCAGAGGAAACCTGCAAGAGCATAGATTACTCAATCAGATTCTCACAAGGTAGGCAAATAACCAAAAATAAGCATGATAACAAGTATAATGCACAGTACGTACTTCAAATTTTGTTGTTTTTTTTTCCTCCTTTTACTCATCGATTCGTACATCCGTACGCACAGCACGAGTCTGGCATTGCGAACTCGCACAAACCACACAACAACACACAGCACCACATGGGCCCAGCCAGGGCCCGGCAACCAGGACAGAATTGTCACTGACGATACGTCAGTTGTGTTGCCAGCTCTAGCTGTCAAATCATTCCATCTCATTTCTGTAATTATAAAATGCAAAACAACAGAGATGGTGACTTATTTTCCATTGAAATTATCTGAACTATTCCACCCGCAATCACACTAATTTTTATTGCATTACCATCATTACAATTATCATATTTATTAGATGAATCCATAAATCCACTAATTACAATATAAACAATTGGACACCAATGATATTGATCATATTTATTTTCTCTTTAGAATGGGATGATTTGACAGCTAGTGCTGGCAACACATTAACAAAAATGTACTGTTCCTAAATCAGTAACCGATTGTGAATGAGGGATGAAAAACCATTCCCTATAGTAAAGTTTTATTCATCTACAATTGTTTTTGTTACACCTTCAAATTTAGAATTTTTTAAAATTTATTTTAAAAGATAATTACAAGAGATGAATAACATACATGAGCATTCATGCTCAGATATTTGCTGATTAGTTTTTAGTATTTACTCCATAATAACGTCATTAATTTAAAGTAAGAGGTTACTCCCCTGACACCCCTTCAATAACTCAGCTCATTCATGCTTGTGAGTGTAGTTGTATTTATTTTGGCATAGAATCAATTATGCTGTAATGAATAAATTTCATCTTTTTTTAAAAAAATTCTATGTTAAAATTTAAATATATTTTAACATAGAATTGTATTTTAACATAGAGGTATATTAACATTCTCCTTATTCATGTCTTTTTTTTTTTTGGTAGGTAAATAATTTGATAGGATTCCTCCCTTTCTTGTGAAATGGAGTACAGAAATATTAAATATAATATATCTTTATATTGTTATTATAATGTATAATTAATATTTATCTAGAAAAAATACATTAAATCCTGATTAAAGTTAGTTATGTTACCATCTTATCCAGGAGAGTAAGGAATGAGTTATTGTCGGTTCATTCAGTTGCATTCAACGCTAAATAAATGAATTTCGACAAATAGTAGACTATTTTATGTGAAAATATTCATATTGCACTACCTTCTGTCTTAGGATTTTTATTAGATCTTTTTGTCCAGTGTTATTTTAGAGTCATATTCGTACTTATTGAAAGCCAAAAGGTTATTAAAGTAACATTTTCAATTTTGAATTTTATTGAAATGTAGAGTTAAATTTCCTAAAACATTACTCTCTCGATGTTTCAAGGAGCACTTTTCCTCTTCTTCACAAATCTTAATATAAGCAGATATTCTTATAAGATAAATTACAATTTTGTTACATTTAGGAGTATTTAGTAAGTAAAACATTAAGTAAAACAAATGAATTAAAATAAATTACATTTTTGTTTACCTTGTCTTGCATTTTGCAAAGAAGCAATCCCTCAATCGCACCTTCCATGGTGTCAGAGGCCATACTAAACAGAAAAGTGGGGGAGGGACAAACTGGTAGATATTTCAATTTTAATAAAGCTAAAACTTTTAAGGTGGAATTTTATATACCTTGTTACAAATTGTTTGTTGTTTATTTTATGTAGCAATACATAGTATTTATTTTATTAGCAATATATATTCAATAAGTACTCTACAACAAAACTGGACAAAGAAATCCAATGAAAATGTTCGTATCTACATGTGTTGTTATAGAATAATGACATGTATGAATACAACGGCCACGGTGTGGTCATTTGTTCGGGTGTTTCATTGTACCTGTTACACTCTCAAACAGCGCCGTAACTTTGAAACCCGCGCGCAATTCATCCACTACAATGGCGGGGACAGTCCCTTCTATTTAACTCTCCGTCCACGGCATTGTGGGGGCTTGATGTAATACGACGTTGGCTAGGGTAGCTGTGGCAACGAGATGTTGTTTAATATTAGCTATTCGTGACGGTTTCAGTCAAATTGATCAACTGTACCGATTGACGTAAATAGAAATTAAGAAATTGCCGTTTTCGGAATAACTTGAGCGCTCCCGTTTCATTATGGCTACGCTTAAGCCGTTAGTCGCTGTTCCTCCTCCTCCTTCTAGGTTTACGTTGAGAGAATGGGATTTGAATAACCGCATACGACTTCGGTCCACACAAGATCAGCAACATCTAGCAGATAGGATTCTTTCAGAATCCCGACGAGTGTGCGATGAGGCGAATGAAATCACGAAACTAAATAAAAGTGAAGTCGACCAAAGGCTTAAGGAAAGAATTGAAGACATACAGTTTAGAAAGAGGGAGCTTGAACGAGAAAGAAATGAGTGCTGTAGAGAGGAAGAAGCGTTAGTGACGTATCAAGAAAGAATTTTAGATGAAATGGAGGCACTGAAGGAGAAAGCCTTAAAAATTTGTTCCCAGTGTATTATCATGCGGTAATTTATTGTGACGTTGTATATGAGTTAATTATTTAGATTTAAATTTCTTTTAATTATAATTTTTTATTTCTATTTGTAGTGAATGCCGCCTGGGAATAGACTTGGTTCGCGATGATGTGGAGGTGCAGCTACAAAAAGAAGCAGATACCATTAATGGCGCGTTGTCACTTCTGCAGCGAACTTTGGAACAAACCAAGGAACAGATACGCTCCCTACGTTCTACGGTGTATTTTATCGATCGTGATCACGAGGATAAAAGCAGATCGTTGGAGATAGATGAGGAATGCATGAAATTAAAAGAAACTAATCTCAACTTGAGCATGTATCATGGATATTCTCGTTTAGATGCAGGGTGAATATTTAGTATTTTTTAAGTGAATATTTGGAACCATTGGCAGACATTGAAAATATCATTAGTATTTATGGTAGTAAGATTGTTTTACGTACTACAAAGAGTGCAAAGCACTCTAAAGTACCCTCTTCAAGTTTTACACTGCCCTTCACACATTTAAGAAAATTTGTGGGAAGATTTTGGCTATTCAATTTCCACAGACAAATAAAGACACAACATTTCTGAAAGTACGGCAATTGATTTAATTTTCAGAAGGGCGCATTATAATTTACCGCCAGAGACCATTAGTCAATTTCAGGGCATATTTTTGAAAGTAGTGACAGAAATATTTTTGTTTTTATGCCTTTGATCTATCTTTGAATTTTCTCAAACTGTTTTTTTTTTGTATTTCAGAACGGTGTCTGCTGAGGATTGGCACAATTTCTCGGGTGAAAATATTTCGCGTGCAGCGAAAGAAATAAACACTGCCCGCCCTTTGCGCGTTTATGTCGACACGATATTGAAGCAAGTGTGCGCCGATTTGCAGAAACAATGTGAAATAACAAACGAAGCATTTCGACGCAGAATATCTGAAACTAAAGCTGCAAAACGGAAACTTGAGAAGGAGCACGCAGAAGTAAGATTTGTAAAATAATAGTAGTTTATGCAATTAGTGTGTAATGTTAAGCTTTCTTGCTTGAGTACATGATTTGAAAACGAGCCACGTTAGGAGCGAGATTTCAAATTTGTACGAATGCAATAAACCAACAATACAAACGAGTTTCATACGCTAAGTATGCTTTATAATTCTACACGAAAATCAGACTTAATATTTCGAAACAACTTTCTTCTGACGTCTCGGGCGTTTGACACCTTTACGAGAAAACTGTGGTCGACTGTTCCGTTTACCGCTACCTCCAAAATTCTCTTGCAGCGATTGGCTGAATATGTGATGACGCAATCATTTGTGCCGTTAAGGCCAGCTGGCCTTGTGGGTAAGACATCATTTGTGCCATTAAAATTCCCTTTTATGAACAATTTCTTGCAACAGAAAAATCTTTTATAATGCTAGTATACAAAAAAAACAATTATTCGCCTTCAGTAAACTGACAATTATTAACACGGGACGGATACATATGTTTTTGCATATTTTTATCTGTTGCCATGGCGCTAAATATTTTCTTTAACCCCTCCCCCCTCCATGTAGCAACGGTAAGCAAAAAAAAATTGGTGCTGGCCCCATTTTTGGTGAATCCTACTTCCTCTTATTTTCAAAAATTGCAAACAATTAAATTTGCATATTTTTCTACTCTAAGAAATTAGATATTTTAAAAAAGGTCAAGAATAATTTTTTGAAAAAACAAGTAGGATTCCCCCTTTCCGCTTGTAATTTTTGTTGAACTCATGGTAGACTGTACACTAATGTTTTTCCAGTTTTTGAATATTGCAAATATTAGAAATAACAAGAAAGTATGTGCTGATGTAGCTCCACATTAGGAAAGGGTTTGGAAAATCAACTGGGAAGTAGTTTGAACAATGAATTACTTCAGAATGCCAAACAATTTTTTTTAAATTTGTTGTTTTTTATAACAATTAAAATGATCATATCTTTTTGTTAGACTGTGAAACGTGCAAATGAAATGATGAGAAACATCACTAGCATTGAAAAGGCTATTGCGGAGAAAGAAGGATTTGTGGCTCTAGCTCACACCAGATTGGGGAAACGAGCTGCAAGACCTGGAGTAGAGCTAACAAGGTATTATTACAGCTAATGATTGCTAATTATTTCAGTGTAAAATATTTCACTAATATTATTCTTCAATTAACACTGTAGGGATGAAGTAGAAGCACGCTTGGTAGTGGAACTTAAAGACTTGGAAAGAACAGTAGCACTATTGCAAATGCAATTAGCAGAGGTATGATTTGACTCTTTTGAATCACAATACGTTACCCTTTAATTCTTGAATTCAAAATAAGTTATATTTGTTTTTCTTTCAGGCTCAAGCATCTCTCAGATACCTACTAAAAACTCAAGTTCAATTAGAAGAAGATATCAACATTAAAACCAATTCACTTAAAATTGATGAAGTTGATTGCATGACGTTGCGTGAAAGCATGGATTACCGCGCATATTGAATCATTATTTTTCCTTCATGGACCTGTAAAATAGATTTGAATGGGTCTCTCACAATACTGCAATGGGATACTGATTTTGATATAAGGTCAAATTTTGTACACATAACTGTCAAATTTATTCTGTAATTACATACCTGACATACATGCAAGGCAAATTACAATAATGAAACATGAATTAATTGATGATACAATACTATCATATAATACTGAGTATTATACATATATATATCCACATATTTAAATGTACAAGCAGATTCATTCTACACCAAGTTTTTATACCATTATTACTTTTTTAGCAAAATAGTTTATAAAAAAATACATTTTTGAATGAGAATTCCAATATTGCTAATTTAATTTTACTACAGTAGTCAAATGTATGACAAATTATAAGCCTTTGTTTTAATGACGTATTTTGTAACCTCTTTGCATGGCTGGAAAGTTTCATCTCTTGTAGTTTTTATATTAGAATAATTGTAGGTAATTAAAAAGTATAATAATAATAATAACAACAGTAATGATAATTCTGCAATAACATTGTACTGTCACTGCATGCAAGATTTCTTAAATATAAGAATTCAAGAGATTCTGAATTTGAAAATGATCACATTTAATTTTCATTTCAATATTTTCTGATTGTTACAAAAAGGATTTAGTGAATAACATTAAAATATCATTTTACATTCCAAAAACATTTTCAAGATATAGATTTCCACAAGATGTAATTTATAGGATGAGATGGAAAATCTCCTAGGATACAGCAGTAACATCTATCTAATGGACAGATTCAGTGACATTTACTAGCACTATTATTTTGTTTTACTTTGTGTTATATAACTTGTTTTATAAATTCATAAGTTTTTGACACACTGGCCTGTTTGGTTACTATTAATTGTCAGTCATTAATGTGGAAAACAAGTATTGTTCAGCATATCCTAGTAATTATGATAATTGATCCAAGGATGAGGTCAATGTGTCGTTTCATTAGTATTTAAGTCGGTATGATTCTTTTAAATTAAGAAGTTTTTCAATTTCATTCTTTGAGGAATAAAAAGGTTGCTTCTTTTGGCACTCATGTATAGTATTTGTGACACTATTAATTTTATCAAGCACATCTATAAATAATATCTGTTTAATGTAACGAATTAGAGGCAATAGTAATACATCAAGTTTCAGGCAACTCATTACGAAAAACAATTTATTTGACGAGAAAAAACAAATTAATTACTTCCAGAGATGTGCTAAATATTGGGGTAACTAAAACAAGATTTCTCCCTCTGAAGGGATATTTCCAAATTTACAATAAGAGTTGTGGGTCACTTTTACTTGCATGTACACATATATATTAAAATATGTGATCCTAAAGTCAAATCAGATAAATCTGATTTTCTTGCAAATTCTTGTGTTCTATTTCCATTGAACTCCAATAGGAAATAAAGACAAACATTCTTTACTAATTTAATTTGTTGTTGAAATTCCCATTAAAGATAATTTCTTATAAAATGATAAGTTTCCTCACAACACAAAAAAATGCATGCATTTTAAATTTATTATAAACTACCCAGTAATTTTTTAGCAAATAATGTTTCACTGTATTTTGAGATTTTCATGTTACTTGAAATAAATCTGTCAAGAACTGCATTAGAAAACTTATGCCTTTTTGAGACCAAGAAGAAAGTATTTTTTAAAGAGAGAAAACACCAACAAAATCAAACAACCAAACTCCTACAGGCACTAGATTTATAACTAATAGTATTTATATTTTTTTCCCAACCTTACAGAGATAAGCAATTAAAAATTCTGAAAAATTAAATATAACACATTAATTAAGCAATGTCTGAATAAGAAGTTGCAAAAAGAATCTCTGCAGTAATAAAGTACCTATGTGATAATAGCTACTTCACCCTTGAAAAGTTCTCATTAAACACCCTTAAAACTTTATAATAGCCTACCTGAAATGGTATCCAGTGATCCTTGCAAAAATTGATCAATTACAATGCTCAATTGCTAAATTTGCCCCTAAGCACTATAATTCTTGGTTTCTTTGGATATGCCCGACTCCATTATGTACTCGTTTTAATCAGTTACTAAGTTTATTATTTTGACTGTCCAAGGGGCCAGATAATTCTAGCAATTCATTTCAAAAAATTAAAAATTGATAGCTACTTAGCCTTTAAAATAGAAAAGGTGTTTTATAACAAATAATTCAAAAGGTATCATAGGCCATGTAAAATTTAAAAATAATTTGATAAATTTAAATAAAAACTGGAAGAAATGTTCCAAATAGACATCAATAAACAATCAGTATTTTAATTAGACTAATGAGACATAAAGAAAGATTTTCAGATTTCTCTTAGCCTCCTAGATGCTGATGAGGCAAACTAACTTCCTTCGACAATTATTGAAAATACATGTATGTGTCTACTATTAATGAACTGCCAAAACAAAATGGAAAAAAATACATAGTACATTACTAATGCATGACAGATTATGAAAACAAAAATTCAGACTTTTAAATTAAAGAATGAACTAACAGAGCTCATTTCAAAAACATTTCTTTTTCTGCTACTCTGAATAATAAACTGAATGTAATTTGTACAAGAGTACTTTTCAAACATTAACTGTAATCAATACTTGTACATACAGTGTCTTTTCTGAAATATTAATTGAAAAAATTGTTTTCTGTGAGCAAAGTCACAAGTTTTCATTCACTTCATTTTATACAGTACACATTTCTGATTATACTATACAATGTAGGCACAATAAAATTATGTTTATTACCGAATAACATCCATATTTTAAATTATAAATACTTTTTAATATCTCTCACAAGAACAACTTAAACTTTCAAATAATTAAAAGACAAAGTACAAATACGAAGTATGCTAGAAACATCATTTTGCAACACTATGATAAACTAACATCCATAGCTACACCTTTAATATAATTCTCATACATCTCTTGCATCATCAGTAATTTTCATCTTTTTAATGTTAGTCATATCTCTTTGTTAGGTTTATTTACATCAGCACATGTTCCATACATATACAAAGTAGAAACCTCTCTAGTCAAAGGGCATATCTAATAAAAATAATGTGTTTTTACAATTCAAACAAATCTTCCCATTACAACATTGAGAATTTGTTTTGTGCTTATACAACAGGTCCTCTCTTATAATGAACTGAAAACTGCCACTTTCCGGGTGGAGCTCTCAGAATATTCAGTTTTATTTCCAGTTCGCCCTTTTCAAGAGAAGTACAACTAGAAGAAACTGAAAAGAGAACAATTTTCAAAGTTCACGAGGAAGCATGAGGAAACGCACTCTCACGTCAGCATCTTGTGGATACTCTTCTTCCTTCTCGGTATTGGGAACATAATGCGTTCCACAGAATCGCTTAAAAAAGCGTCCAACATCCACATGGTTTATCTTTATTGGATTCACGGCCACTTCTAGATTCTCTGCATGACAAAAGTTAATATCATTAGATGGGTGAACTCAACATAGGAAATTAAACTTAAACACCTTCAGGTTGCTGCCTGTAGAATCTATGAGCTCCGATAGGTTGCTTTAAATTATGATGCCCATAGAATCTACAGGCACTTGGTTATATAAGCCATTTACCCCGTTCGCTGACTATTCATGAAAGATCCAACATACATAAAGAACCTAAATACACTGTTAGATTTTGTTTGCTGCCATTTAAATGGTAATAAATAGCTTTGGTATGCACAAATGAGCATGCTCTATACATTGATGTCTAAGTGCTATTCAAAATTACCATACCAAAGCCAATTATTGTGAATAAAATGTAAAGTTTTCTTCATTATGACAATAGACCTAATGTAATGTTATGTACAATGTTCTAAAATTAACTGGATTTGTAAAAAAATAATTAAAATTAACATGTTAAACTTTTTATAGGCTCAATTTTTTGTGTTATTTATATTTAAAAAATTCCAAATTATTAATGTAAACAAAAAAGTTTGGAACTTCAAATAAAAGAACAAGAATGTTGCTTTAAAAAAATCTTGCTTCTCTTATTATTAGTTTATAAGATATGACCCTTCAAACACATCCCAAAACCTTACAGCCAGTGGTTGAAAAAAGTTGGGCAGAGGCTATGACCTAAATGTGTTAATGTTAAAACAACAAATTCAGAAAATACTTTCAAAAATAGAATAGTAATTTATTTTTATAAAACAAAATAAAAATGAAGTGTAACTAACTGGGAGCTAAAATCTTGGAGAAAATGACAGATTTCTTGCTATATAATCACTTTGCAGAGAGGAAAGCTTGAACAAATACAGATTAAGAAATATAGATGACCATCAGGAAACTGGTTTTCCACAGATAAGTGTGTTGTGTTCTTCTCTATCATTTGTATTTTTCACAAGATCAACTGTATTTCTTTAATAGAATTCTATAATTATTTTCAGCTTAAGATAATGAGAATAGCTTAGTCAGATCACCATTTATTTCCAAAACTATAAATACATTTTGTTTCTTCCTCCTTCTCTTACATTTTCACACAATTATGTTAAAATCACGACGGTGGAATGTTTGCCTACATGCTCTCCGATACAATTCCCTTGCATGTTAATCATATCATTGTGGTCATTGCAATAGGTCGCATGGCAAAAAATCCACTTTTTTGTTTATTACACCATTGTATATCAATCCCGAGAACTGCAGCAGCTGCAATAGGTCATACGACGATTAACTGAATATCATGAGATTACACATGTGAAATCGTCTGTCAAGACAAAGAGGTACAGAATGTTATTCATCCCTCCAGAAAACTTAAGTAGATTTGAAATACAACCTCTTGTGGTCATGGCCTCTTGCATGTTCTCATGCACACTCTCACCTCTTCGCCACTGTCTCCAAGACGCACCTCACACATCAAATGTTTCCTCCCTCAAACTCCTACATAAAAACACTATTATAAGTTACGAAGATGAATAGTACTTTGTCTCCCATGCTGGATGAAACAGGAAGTTCTGAATAGCTTAAGTACCCAAAGGAGCAACCCCCCACCCTTAAACATATAACAGAAGAGCCTCAAAGATTTTTTATCAGTTATCGTTGAGACAAAAATATCTTTCTTCAATATTGTAGTTGTAGGAAGATGCTGAAAAAATGTTGAACATATTTAATTTTTGAAAATTAAGAGAGTTAAACCAAAATGGAAGCTGTGAAATTTTTATGTGTACTATGCTCATACAAGAAAAATACTAAAGAAAAACGTGGGAACCTTTTTGAGAAATTTCATTGAAGCTTTATTTTAATACCTCCTAAAAATCAAAATGTCCATTTCAAATTTGCTTGAATTTGGCCAGACTGATCAGCGAATGTCAATTTTGGACAAAAATTGTCTGAATAGTTTAAGCACTAGAGGCACAGATGGAAAAACAGTTATTTTGCTGTAAACCAATTTTTTGTTATCAAGGACCCAATGTGGATTCAGACTACACATTGAATTTAATTTATTACATAAAGTTACAAGAATTATTCTCTTTGTTGGTTCTGAGGACTCACAAAACAATTTTTTCAATAATAATAATAAATAATATATAATATATAATAAATAATAATAATAATAATAATAATAATAATAATAATAATAATAATAATAATAATAAAAATAAAGTCGGCCCCTTGGCACAGACGGTTGCGGCAGCCTTCGTCTGTGCCAAGGAGGCTGCAGGTTTGAGTCCTGCGTAGACATGGTTGTATTTGTGATTGTCCCTTCACCCCTCATCATCAACCTATCATCTCATAATTCACACTTCAAGGCATAACAGCCATGTTGTAATCCAAGGATACAGCTGAAAAGCTAATCCTGGAAGAATTACACACGTTAATCGTGTAGCATGGTCAGTAATGGCTTATATGCCAATAATAATAATAATAATAATAATAATAATAATAATAATAATAATAAAAACACACACACACAACACTTTTCACTGTGGCATTGCAATACATTCCATTTACAACGTAAGAGTACAGTAGGCATGAATGTTAAAAATACTCATTTTGAAATCGTGTTTATCTCCAGCAAGTACATTAACTGCCTATTGGTCAAACACTCCTGGCATTTCTCAAATACAAATTACAACTAATACTATAACAGAGGAGAATACATCATCTTACCTTGAGCTACGTATCTAGTAGAACCATCTTCAACTAATACATTATAAAAGGGCTGCCTATCTTTGCAAGGTAGATTATCAACGCCCATCTGGTAGATCCATTCTTGAGATGCATTGCAGAAAGGATCCCATCCGTAAATTACGCAGGTGTAATCGTATCTCAAATGACGCATGATCATGCCAATTGCATACTCAACCCCAGGAGCTCGCAATCTTGGTTCAATCTACATAATTAAAGATTCTTTAACAACTTTAATACATCAGAATATAGCTATACAGTAATTTTTAATTTCGTAAAACATTTATGAAAAAATTTAACAAATTTTTAGAAATAACTATTTTATATTACAATATACAAATACATAAGACTTTATCAATAAAGTTGTAACTTCATTCAAAAGGAATACTTAAAATATTTCAATACATAGATGAAATGAAATCAAGATAATTAATAGTCAATTTTTAGTTATTTACTGTCCAGTTGTTAAACCTGATGCTGAATTATTAATTAATTCACCAACAATCAATAAACCAATGAGTGTCTCTGGGAAACGACGAAGTGCCAAACTGGAGATTTTGAGACACAGGCATACTATAACACTTGCACTTGCCAAGGACACTTAGCCTGCCTTATATTGAGCTCTAAGGTTATTTCTATGTATGTGTGAAAATACTGCCCTAACGACAAAGAAAAATGGAATACACATTTTACACAAGATTTTACCTTTACCCCAAGCCACTAATTTATAGCATTAAAAAATAACAAATTAAGGTCCCATTTTTAATTCCATTCGAACTTACTTCCATGAAAATTTAAGATAACCACAACAAGACAAGAATGGTAATAAAAGTGGAGAATTGTTTTTAACGTAATATCAAAATCTTTCAATAAATATTGCATGGTTAAAAATTTGGAAAGACAAAATTATTACAAAAGTAGAAATACAATGATAATTGCAAAACTTCCAAATGTTGTTCTTGAAATGAATCAACATCTAATTACAAGTATTCTGCTTATTGTGATTTGGCAAAAACAATAACTAAAACCATATTACAACAAATGCTTCATTTTTTGTACTCACATCAGGGAGAGATTCTGATTCCTTGCTGTAATGATGTGATTCATAAACTCTCATCATTTTTATTATATGAGCAGCTTGTTCACGCTCTCGTGGTCCCAAGTACTGAAAAATAAAAATTGACCCATTCTTTAACACAGTCATCATTTTAAGCCAAAATATAATTATTGATGAATTTTGTTGCACTGTAAATAGTAACTCATGAAATTCCACATGGGAGAGGTGTCCTGAAACGCATTTCATGCTCTAACTAATTCAATTTCAAGTTTTAACACTTGAAACTACTTACATCTTGTGTTTTCTTCAGAGCTGCCACAAGATCACCCAGATTCATATGGTGGAGCATATAAAAACGGGCAAGGTGGAAAACACAATTCATGTCTGCAGGGTTGACCAGGTGCATCAACTCCAGGGTGCTCCTTAGGCGAGCCTCCCGTCCCTGTGCACGCTGCCGGCCAGCCACCTCCAAGTTATTGGCCAACCGTTCTACAACCTGTGCATTAATACATTTCTGTCAGATCAGACATAATTTACAATTCCCTTCACCATTAATATTATGACATATGCTTAGAAAGAACTATTGTTTTTATGTAAAATATGATTTGGCTTTTCTAAATCCATTTTCTGCAGTATCACATAACTTTTTCTATACTATGTATGTGCTTCATACTATGTATGTGCTTCTATACTATGTATGTGCTATGTAAGTGCTTCATCAGTACTTGCTTTCTCAAGTGATACAAAATATTTATGTAATATTAAAATATTGTTATTTCTGCCATACTAAAACTAAAGCAGGTGCTTCATCAGCACTTGCTTTCCCAAGTGATACAAAATATTTATGTAATATTAAAATATTGTTATTTCTGCCATACTAAAACTCAATTATAACTTGAAAAAGCCTAATTCCAATGAATCACCTCTTTGTATTTATTTCTTTTGTCAGGAAGAGAAGTCGTTTCTTACTTTTAGAAATGAAACAAACATGAATAAATTTAAATTTTACAATATTTACTGAATAAAATAGAGAAAAGCATGAACAATTTCATGCAAGCCCACTTTTATTTGAAGCGAGCATTCATTTAATACCATAATCAGTGATTGAAACTTCTAAAAGTACAATGTGTGAGTGTTAGTTCTAAGTTAAAATTTATTTCCTTCCTTCAATCTATTTCCTTTCATAAAAATATTATCTACATGATACAATTATCATGACCGACTATACTGGGATGAATTCAAAGAATTTTGAAACCTCTGTGATGCTATTTTCTGAACAGTTGTGAGCCGGAAATGATGCGCGTGAAATTTGAATTTACAATTCCGAACTTTTTTGCAATTTTCAAAATTCAGAGTGCATTGAAAATAGGACCATCACCACTATCTTTATAGTTCTTAGATTCATGAGAGGATAAAAATGAAATACAATATTTAAATACTAAAATTTTGCAAAAAATTATATTTTCAAAATATTGAACTCGACCTCTTTTGAAGAACTGTTTCTGATGAACACGTTTCATTGACACAAAATAATTTATCTTAAAAATTGTAGTTGTAGGAAAACACCGAAAAATTTTGGATTTTTGAAAATTTCCAAAACCTAGGGTTTTAAAAAAAATTAGATCTGTACTATCTCTGAAATGTCTTCCACACTATCCAACAACAACATTTATTCAAAAACAGTGGAGCCATTTTTAGAAATTTGGAAAATGTCCCATGGGCTTCATGCCAAGTATCCCCCAAAATTAAAATATCGTTTTCAGATTCAAAGAGCCGTGACATCAGCCGGATAAATGGGGAAATATCAATTTAGGAGAAAATTGGCTGAATGGTTTAACCGCTAGCGATGTTTATAGATGGACAGGGGGACAGACAGACAGACAGACATTTTGCTGTCATTCGATTTTTCAGTACCAAGAACCCACAAAACCGATCCTGGTTACACCATGCGTTAGAAAGTTTCTTTTTCTAAATTCACTTTTTTGTCACAGCCTGGCAATACATTTTGTTGCTGCAAATTTATGGTTTTCCTGCAGTGTTATATAACTTCATAAGGGCGAGAAAGTACAAAGAAAAGAGAGAGGGACACATTCATGTGTCCAAATGAAAACAAAATAAATACCATACCTTAACAAAGGTTTCTGGCTGCAATTTTATTTCTCTCATTGGGCATTGAGAGTTTGGAGAATAATGTGGACAATCTCGCTTGGTAAGGAAATGCCCACAATTATACACATCAATGTAATAATATGTGCTTCGTTCTTCTTCAGACCTTTAACATAATTTATCAAATTAAGATACAAACCGCAACAGGCATCGTTGCCTTCATTCTGCAAAACATCAAGATGATGAATATGATGATGATGATGATGATAACAAAGGGTACACATTTAAGGTAATATAAACTATGGAGAGATTATTTAAGACCTTTGTCAGAATAACCTTGGAATAAAGTCACAGTTGTCTGAACACCAATATAAAAGAGACACGAAGACAAAGTTGAAAAGGATGCAGCAGAAATTTATCAGACTTTTGACACTAAAATCTGGTAACTGTGTGTACAGATTTTCTCACAATTGCAAACCATTTTTAATGAAATTTAATTTAAACACATTGGAACAAAGATGCAACTTCAATGATAAACTTTTCTTTTTCAAACTTTTAAAATAATAATGTTGCCTCCTGAACTTTTGCATTATCAACCTTCTAGAAACTCTTGCTCAACTAACTATTTAGTGCTACTTCACCCTTCAAAAACAACCCTTCTAATGACACCTTAGTCAACACAAAAAGTGTGTACATGATTGCAAAGTCAATTGACTTTTGAAATAATTCACTAAACTCTTTCAAAAGAAAGCTAAAATCGAACCTTGATCAGTTAGAATTTGTAATGCTTGCATTACACAGTGCAGAGATTTACTTTAGATTGTACTGCATTTGTGAGATTATCAATTTCTTTCATCTTTAATGATATCAATATAAAACCGTAACAGACACGTAATGATGCTAGTTTAAGAATTGCATCAAAACTCTGTATTTAAAATTCTTTCTGATGCTTTTACTTCATCTTCTTTTTCCTTTCACCCTTTAGGCAGCTGCCTGTTCCGTCTTCACAGGCTCCTTCCATCTTCTCCTCAGTCTTCCCACACCCCTCCTTCCTTCAGGTGCTTAGTACAAAGTTGTTTTTGGAAGTCTGACATCTTCCATTTTTCCAATAGGTTGTAACTATTTGCCTCTATATTCTTGCATTCTAGAGTTCATAGGGTTATACTTTTAATTCTTTTCTAATGTTCTTGTTTCTAAATCTTTCCTCTCTTGAACACCCTTTAGTTTGGCACAAAAATCTCTTTCCACTTTCACAACCATAGAGCTTCCATCCAGCTTTCACAACCATAGAGTAGCATTAGAATTGACATAGTTTTGTACATTGTTATTCGAGTTTGATTTGTTTTATTTGTGAATGGTTCCATATAATGTTTGAAACCTTGAAATTTGTTTTCTGTGCCTATCATTCTGCTCACCCTAAGTAAGTAAAGGAGGAGGCTTGTCCTAAAATTTTGTTATCAATGGCTACTTCGACCTGACTGGTGTCTTCTCCAAAATGCCATTACTTTTATCTTACTTGATATCTGAATGTCACATGTTTTACTCATCTGATGGAGGTGGTGGTCTTCTGATTCTTGTATCTTCTGATTCTTGTATTGTAGCATCGTCTACATAAAATAAAATTGGGTATTTGGATAATTTTTTAGCTGCGGTATTAAAAGTTGCAAGCAGGGGCTACCAGGTAGCTCCAAGGATTCCCCTTAGTGCATAAGCCTTACGACAAGGAGTGTGGGCAGCACACAACAAAACTAATTCAGGTGCAACAAGATTATATTACTTAATCAACACAACTTAAATTTTCAGATTTGTTTCAATTTCAGTGTACAGAACACAACTAAACTAGATAAGAAAATAATTACTCTACTCACTTATACTTTTCTTGCCAACGGAGTAAGAAATGAGCAGGAAAATTCACTGGCTCACATTTCACTCCCAAACGTCTGGCAATGCTTTCATACACAATGCTCAACGTAATGGGAATTCCACAACGAAGCTCTATGACCTGGAACATAAATATAGAAGTCACAAACATGGAGCATGAAATCACACATTTTAATAGTCAACATACCCCACTTGGTGAACCAGACAAAAGTAATTACTGCTTCAAGGTCACAAAGTGTTAAGTTACAAGTGAGAGGTTTCCTGCCCAGGTTGAAATTTCAAAGGAGTAATGCAACACTTCCACTCATATGCTGTAAAACATTTTATTCCAAACAAGACCGCACTTTTGTGTTCTTGACTCAAGAACAGGAATTCATTAGCAATCCATGTGATTGCCACTATTTTCAAGAATAATATAAATAGCTCTAAAATGTTGAAGTGCACTTGTAGACCTTGGATAAATTTTCACAATCTTACTATTCATTTACTTTTCATTAACTTCAACACAAGCTTTACCATTACGTGAAAACTAAAACTGCACAATTTGATTAAAAAAAGACTGGACCTGGTCTTTCCACATTCTGTTCAGAAAAAGGTGGTATCATTGAAAATAAACCCTTTGGTTTTCTTAAGATTCAGATCAGATAAAGGTAAGTGCCAGTTAATAATTCTATAAAACTTTCATTTATAGAAAGACTCATCTGGATAAATATGAGACACCACCCAACATCATCCCATTCAAAAAATACTTTTAGATGATCTCTGCTTACATTGGTCCCACATATCTAATTTACTAACAAACAGGATTTTTTGTTGATTATCACACTTTTGAAACTTTCTTTTAGATAATAAATTCACAAATCCTTTCACACAAAGCTGAAGGAAACTATCAACGGCTACAAACCTTATTCAGAAAGGAGCTTTCAACATTGTAATACATTTCATTGTTTCCATGGAAACCCATTTGTGTAAAAAGAACATTTCGTAGTGCATCAAGTATTTGGTGAGATTCAGACGGTTTCCACTGATTGTCGTTAATATTCTTATTCCTCCACTCGGACAATTTCTCTGGAGGCACACGGAATAAAGGGTGATTACTGTGCTTCTTTCGAAGTTCTGTTTTCACAGCAGAAGCAATGTCATCCAGTTGCTTGGCTATCTTCTTGTATTTAACTTCGGTCAAAGGTTGGCTCCACTGAGCAACTAGAACAGCTCCTTTTTCTAAAACGAGTTCTTCAGATGGTAGGCTTAAGAAATGCTGCCACTTTTTACTGAGATGAACTTGACGTACATAGCGAATGACCTTTTCGGTGTAAAATTTCTCTGTAAGATTTCCAGCTCTAAAAAAAGGAAAGGAAAAACAAAAAAAAATTACAAATTTGAAGATTAATGAATGTATAGGGTGAACATACATACAAACATTCTGCAATAAAACACCAACAGAAATTATTTATTTCTCCATAAAACATAAGAAAATAAAATACTAATAGCATCTCTCAAGAAAATCATGAGCCAACACAAATTTTATTCGTAATAATCAGGGCTCGAATTCTAATGATGTCATCTTTTTATTGGAGCATTGTATACATACTTTATCTGGACCTTTGCATCATTTTTACACAATTTTTTTTCCTTTCAGTGTTTCTGTTAGTGAATGCTTCATGAATTTACAATGCCACACTCAAACTAAGTTTTTATTGTATCATCAGTTCTTGATGAAATTCACTACTGCAGTGGATTCTTCTCCAAAATCTCAAAATTACATGGATTTTTTGGTAACTTCCTAGACTTTTCAAAACTGATGGTTGAAAGATCGGAACTAACAATTACATTCCTCCTAAAATACTGTATATTAAAAATAATTTTATATAAATTAATTTTATTTAAATTTGTAAAATTGATCGAATAAATAAACATTTTCATACAAATTTTTGAGGATAAAAATAATTAGGTCATTTCCCCCTATTTTCAAGGCATTTTATAGGTCATTTTCAAAGAATTTTTAGGTCATTGGAATCTGAGTCAAGGCAATAATGTATATTAGCTTGACATATTGATGATTAAAACTCCTACATAATGTCATCAACTTTAAATGGTCTTAAATAGAATATAATGCCTCGTCAAACTTTGGCAACGGAAGCCCTTGTAAACGATGTTTTTTAACATTTACTTTTATCATCACTCTAGAGACGCTGGCCCAAGAAATGTGATTAAAAAAATGTATTTAAATGTATTTATATTCACAAATCAAACCTAACATTCAATAATGAAAAAATTTCAAAGCGCAGTCTGAAAGTAACAGAATATAAACTGCAGGAAACAAGTCAATAATAGATTAGTATAGTAATGTTCATTCAAGAACTTACGCCCCATTGTTACATATGCAACAAAAACGCGACAAAGACTTCTAAGAGTATTTGAGAGGTAGATAATTCATAAAACATATGGGCCACTGCATGAAACAGGGAACTTAATAAAAGGGAAGTGGTTTACTATCAGATTCATTAAAGCTCAAAGAATTAATGGCTGGGTCATGTTCAAAGAATGCAGGTAAACAGACTTCCAAAGCAGGTAAGAGAATGGGGGACAACAGAGGAAGACCATGATCTTGGTGGATGGATGAGGTGTGCCAACTTTTAAGGGTGTGGGGTGAAAAAGAGTGGAGAGTGACTGTAGGCAATAGGAAAAAAATGGAATGACATAATTGAGACAGCCAAGATACTCAAAGGGTTGCACAAGTAATGGAAGAAGATGGTAATGTTCATCCATTTTGGTTATCTAAAGGCAAACTTTACGAAACGGAGATCAGTTTCACAATAAGTTATTAGAACACAAGTGTTCCATTAGTCCATGACCCCACTTCATAATAATAAGTAAGTGTTTGACATGTGTACTAATAATTCAGGATTAATAATTCATGTTAGTAACTGTACAAACATTACCCTGAAACACTTCGCAGGACGAGTAGTTAAATTTAAACGCAAATGCTTGATAATTAGAATTTTTACAGTGTTTTTGTCATGTCGCAATGGTTTATCACTTTACTCAATTGGTTATCATTTGAAAATTTTCCAATCTATTATTGTATTTAAAGGTCTTATGATCTTTATTTTGTAAATAACTATTATTTTTTTCTGCTGAATTATAGTCATTGCTGAAGGGTTTAAAAGGGTCTAATAATTCATATTTTATTTTATTAAAAATATAACACATGATGTAATGAAAAATTTAGAACTCAATACATTCAGGGGTATTAAAGAACAAAAGAAAAACTAAGTATGAAATGAAATTACCCTTTATTCTTGCTTTTAATGACAAAATAGTATATTCAGTTAGTAACACAAAAAGAGATACAGAAAACAATGCTATTTTTCCCACAAAAACACACATGCAGTTATATATTAGTTACAATTAAATAGTACACTAAATACATAAATAGCTGGAGTCATGTAAAAAAATGGTACTTTGTAAATGTTGTTTGAAAAGGAAAATTACTTCACAGTACCTAATTTCGAATGGCGAGCACTTGAACTGTGAGCTACTTCAATACAGAAATGCGCGAGAGTAACCATTCTAAATCGCAAAGTGTCGAGATTAAATTGCACAGAAATTCAAATAGTCCCTGTCACTGTATTGGGAAATATTATTTCTTATCCCTTCAATTTAATTTTACATAGATTTCAGGTTTCTGCACTTTTCTGACCATCCAAGTGGGGGCACCCAAATTAAATAAAACTCCAAAAATGCAAGACAGTTCCAAAGGACTTATTTTGTAGAACACTGCTTACGAAACATTATTTGGTTCCCATGAACCTGTCCTCCAAAACTCCCAACCCTACAGACTAACCTACAAAACTCTTGTGGAAACAAAAATCTTGTTTTACAGGTTAAGCACAATTATGTGGTTTGCAGATTTTGTTGAGTATGTCATAATACACTAACTTCTATTTTCTCCTCCTACTTAAATCTGTTTGGAAGTAACCCAGCAGTATAGGACACTTAGGCTTTTTATCAATGGTTTCTTATAAACTATCAACAACCATCATCTATACTTAGCGTGTAATATACAGAGAGAAAAAATGTTATTTTTGCAATTCAACATACATTAGATTAATTTTTCAATAGGTCATTGTGATGTTGGTTAGGTATTCATTACGGAATGAATGTACAAGCAAGAGGGATACAGAATTCCTTGAAAAAACGGGTAGGTTTTCTGGATATGTATCTTATCAAAATGGTTTGGCCTCTTTGATTTGGGAGCATGGTGGTTTAGTTTGGAGCATTTTTGCTCTAAAATGTTTCAACTTCAGAAGGTAAGTTTGCTTCTTTCAGAGATAACCAAAGACTTCTTGATATGTTAAAGTTGCAACTTTCTACAATGAAAAAAGAGAAGGAACTATTAATGAAGATAAAGAAAAAAAGATTAACAAATTAAATCAATTCAGAAATCAATGTTGAAGAGAAAGGAAGGACACAGCAAAAGCAACTCCTGGAGTGTTCTTGTGATGCCAATATATTTGAATACCCCTGAAGAAAAGGGGTTGATCTGGACATAAAAATAGTGACTAAAAAAACTTGAAGTTTTTTGAAAAGTTTAGGCAGGCCCATAGGTATATGTAGCCTAAAACAACTACATATCTGGGTACCCTTTCCAGTAAACCTGTTTATTTACATACATCATATTTTACTAGGAAATCAATAAAAATTGCTGCAAAGAGAATGCAATTATAACTCTGCTGATTCAATTAATACTGATTTTGTGTTGATCCACTCACATGGTTGCCAACAGGTTTGGAGAACCTCTTCCCTAAATTGTCAGGGGAAAAAAGAAAAAAAATCACGGATTGAAGATATTTACGTAAGAAAAATGATTTATTTTAGAAAGCTTTGGGGCTGAAAATTTCAAGGGCAACGGCCCTGTAAGAACTTGCATATAATGGGGCCAAATTAAATGAACATCCCTACTTTGTAGCAAACATTGAGGCAATTTGTGGCACAGAGCGAAGTTGCTAGCAAACAAATTTGTTGAAATTTGTTCCAACAAAATGAGTCAGCCTGCTTCACAGGGGCAAGTCCAACCATTCTGGCTGCTGGATAGTGGCGCAGGAGTGTGTGTGCTGTGAGAGGAATGCACACAGAAATGCTACCTAGCCTTCTTGACTAACTAACAGTGATGGCTAAGCTGCGGATTTTTGCCTATTTCACTTTTTCCCCCTTCAATGGAAAATGCAATCTTGTGCGTTTCTTATTCATTTCGAGGCATTAGGAGCATTATATGCGGATTTTATAGTGCCTATGAATGCCTATTTCACTAATAAATGACTATTTTGTGTTTAAAAGTTGCCTATTTATTGATCAAAATGCAATAATCCTTAACCAAAATATAAAAAATTGTACATCTTTTCATTTTTATCCTGCAGAATACAGAGAAATCAAATAACATTCAAAAAA